CAGTGGCATATGTCCGCCTGCAAGGTCACACCCTCCTGAGCCTCCTCAAAGGATCCCATCAACAGGGACCAAGTATTCAAATACCAGAGACTATGGGGAGCATTTGGCATTCAAACCACCACAGTATGGTTGACACCTAGTAAGATATATAGAGTTTGGGCAGCTGACTGTGTATCATCTATGTGTTTCTCTGTATGCGGTGTGTATGTCTGTGTGTGCCTTTACATGTGTGTCTGTGTGTGCCTTTACATGTGTGTCTGTGTATGTTTCTGTGTAGGTGTGCTTGTATGTGTGTATTTCTGTATATGTGTGTATGTCTGGGAGGGGGGCTGATAGCAAAGATAACACAATCCAGGAGAACTGGTTGGAGCAGAAGGAGTATGAACCATCATATCCAAGGTCCACCAGAAGCAGCTTGAGAGTTGAGGGTTGACAAAGACACGAGGCCTCCAACCAGCAGCTCTCGATCTTCCGCTAGGTGGGCAACCATCCTGGTGTACTCCGGGCTTAGGATCTCCTGGGATGAAGGACTTTTGGCACTAAAGTCAGATCAACCCTGGGGAAACCTTGATGTCTGTATCTCAGGCCTTCCCTCTAGAACTCTGTGGCTCTGAAGGGACACCACTCCCCCTTGTCTGGAGCCCGGATCACTGGGGTAGGTGCCCCCTTTTGGTTATTTTTGGTGTGTGTGTGTGTGTTTTGCGGGGAGGGGTGTGTGTGTGTGTGTGTGTGTGTGTTTCTCTTAGAATAGAGGCCAGAAGTTTTCCTGGATTTTGGACTGGGAGGTGGAAAGCAAACACTTAAAAACCTTTAGGGTTTAATGAGAACAGGATTTTATTTTAACAGTAAATTATAATATTTGACAAAATGCAGACACATTGCTGCTCAGAGCTGGAACTGAGTCAGCATGGAAAGTATTCTTTCTCTAGGGGACCCAGCACTGGAATAAGTGTGAATTACAGAGAGAATTCCCTCGATCTGGAGATGGCTCAGTGAAGACTGTGGTAGCATTGTCTCATCACCAGGGACACCTAGGTGAAGAGGCGAGCATCTGGAGGGAGAGTTCTCTGGGTGTCAACCTCTGGAGCCTCCATTGTGGTAGTTCATCTTCTTAGTTGAGCAGGGTTTAGAATCACCGTGAAACCACATCTCTGTGTGTACCCATGAGGGTGTTCACAGACAGAATGAACCAAGAAAGGAGGACTCACCCTGGATGTGGGTGACATCATCTCATGGGCTGAGGTCCCAGAGTTATTTACCAGATGATGAAGAAGATGATAGCTTTTATTAAGAATTTGTAGGAGATCTTTATATATGCTTAGTATAAATCCTTTATTGACTAAACAGATTTTGAATATTTTCACACCATCTATTATTTTGTTGATATGATCAGTTTATCACTTAAATTTTGTGATCAGTAAGCTGGGTGGTGGTGGTGCACACCCTTTAATCCCAACACTCGGGAGGCAGAGGCAGATGAATCTCTGTGAGTTTGAGGCCAGCCTGGTCTACATGAGCTAGATCAAGGACAGGCTCCAAAAGCTACAGAGAAACCCTGTCTCAAAAAACCAAACCAAACAAACAAATTGTGATTAGTGTTTTTTCATGTTCTAAGAGGTCTTTGCCTACCCCAAGACTTCCAAGACTTCCCAGGTCTTCTTCTGTTTGTTTTATAGCTTGGGACTTTTACTTCTAAGTTTGTGTTATTTAATTTTCTCTTGAAGATTTAAAAGTTTTACTATTATTTTAGGTTTTATTGTCTCATCAGCTCCAGAACTTCCTTTGATTCTTTAAAAATACATTGCTAAGAAAGTGGGGAATAGAGAGGATAATGGAACACATGTGAGAAGGAAGTAGATGGGAGACTGTGGGGGAGGGAGAGGAACCAGCTGGAGGTGGGGAAGCACTGGAGCAAACAGTGGGGGAGGGGGACAAGTGAGAACAAAGTATAATGCATATGATCATATAAATGAAAATGCCACAATGAACAATGAACACACACACACACACACTCCTATACATCCATTGCTGTCTGGCAATTCTCCATCTGTTCACTCATTGTGGCTATGTTTTCTCTTATGTCCTCTGAACATATAATTGCTACTTAAAGGTTTTTACAGGGCTGTACAATTAGTTCAGCACTAGAGCAGCCTTCTACCATGTGCAATGCCCTGGATTTAAACCTAAGCATCAAGGGAAAGCAGGAGCTCTTGTCCATCTAACACATGATATTCTTGGGCTTTTGTGGCACTGTTTTCCCTTTCAATACAAATCGCTTTAAAATTTTTTCTTGCACCAGGCCGTGGTGGCGCACGCCTTTAATCCCAGCACTCGGAGGGCAGAGGCAGGCAGATCTTTGTGAGTTCAAGGCCAGCCTGGTCTACAAGAGCTAGTTCTAGAAGAGGCTCCAAAGCTACAGAGAAACCCTGTCTTGAAAAAAAAAATTTCTTGCCTGTCTAAAACTTCCATTGATATTGTTTTTCATAATGGTTTCAGAGATTCTGGTTCTGTCTTTCTTCGACATCAGGTGGTTATTGATGGACCATCACTTCAAAGTTGTAGATGTTTGGCTTTGTATTCTTTAATGTAGCCTTGTTGAACATTTTCCCTTAGATGGAAAGAAAAAATTTAATCCTTGGGACGTGGTCTTTGCTCCTTAGTATAATGTGCCCTAGGATTTTGTGACTTCCCCAGGATATTTCAAAGGCTCTTTTGGAAAAGTTGGCAGGATTCAAACTCTTAAGTATTCTCAAGTAGGCAGGAGAGAAAATCTCTATTTACCTTTAAAATCTCCAGGATGTAGTTACTCACATTGGCGTCAATTTGTTGGCAGAGGCTGCTTATTAGTTCCCCGACGCCCAGACTCAAAATAACCACACAGAAACTGTATTAATTAAAACACTGCTTGACCAATCACTTAGGCATATTGTTAGCGATTTCTTATATCTTAATTAATCCATCTCTATTAATCTGTGCATTACCACAAGGGTGTAGCCTACCAGCAAGGTTCCTACTGCCAGCTTTCTTTCTCCTCTGGCAGCTACATGGCATCTCCCTGACTCCGCCTACTCTCTCTACATCTCTGTTTCAATTTTCTGCCTGGCTTTACTCTGGTAAGCCATTGGCCAAAAGCAGCTTCTTTATTAACCAATGGCAATAAAACATAATCACAACATACAGAGGGGAATCCCACATCATAGAGTTCTTCAACCCTTCCTGGTTAGTGGCTAGTATTTCTCAGGATGACAATTTCAGGAAGTCAGAAACTTAGAGAACACCAGGCTTGCTACTTTCTACCTGTTTAAAGGTGCCTGTGCACCCAAAGGCTGTATAAAGGTAATTCGGGGTGAAAAAAATGGTCTTCAGACTTTTTTTTTTTTTTTTTTGCAGGGTGAGGTTGAATGTTTATTCAGGGGGTTATGGAGGAGGAAGGGTGAAGGGGGGGGGACAGAGAGAGAGAGAGGGAGAGAGAGAGAGAGAGAGAGAGAGAGAGAGAGAGAGAGAGAGAGATCTTCAGACATTTTTACACTTTGCGTGAATATACAATACAGTTCTTCATAACTTAAGCCTTAAGTACCATTACTTTGGGGTTGGACTTGTATCCTTTTTTTTCTTTTTCTCATAGAGAGACTGGTGTCCTCCTGCCCTTTGGGAACATTCCTTGAAAGTGAAATTCATTTTTGATAGGCCCAAACTTGCAAATGTCATTCTTACTGATAAGTGGGGTACTGGTGATAGGATGCTGGAGTCTCCCAGGGAGAGTTGATCTGATGAGTTCTTATGGCCCTGGGCACTGTGGGCAGTGAATGAGAAAATCTCTAGACAACAAGACTTCTTCCTTGCTTCTGTCCTGTCCATAAGCACTGATAGACGCCCAAAGACATAAAAGAGGTGCCCAGAGTCCCACAGACCGACTCCCACTGTGAGTGCAGAGATCAAAACCAGCATTAGACTGTGCTCTGAGCTCAGCTGCTCCTTCTGTCTGGGAAGGAGTGATTCTGAGATCCACCATGTTCCAGAAAGGAAAGAGAAGGAATGGTGGGGGCTGGAGAGGTGGTTCAGCAGTTAGGAGCACATGCTGCCCTTCCAGGGGATTAGAGTTTGGTCCCAACATCCACATCAGTGGGCCCATGACCACCTGTAATTCCTGCTGCAGGAAGTCAAATGCCTTTTGGCCTCCTTGGGCATTGGCATGCATATGTCATTTACACACACAAAGACACAAATAAGTAAATAAAGACTTTTTAAAAAGAAAAAGGACTGATTGGTGTTATCATATACCTTCAAACCTAGCACTCAGGAGGCAGAGACAGGCAGATCTCTGTATGTTCAAGGTCAGTCAGGTCTATAGAACAAACACCAGGGCAGCCAGGGCTACACAGTGAAACCCTGTCTTGAAAAACTGAAAGGAAGGAAGGAAGGAAGGAAGGAAGGAAGGAAGGAAGGAAGGAAGGAAGGAAGGAGGGAAAGAACAAAGGAAGGAGACACATTGGGGAGAGGATTTGAAGCTGAATGGACTGTCAAGGTCTTTCACAATATTCTTTCATTCACTAAGCTGTTCTAGTTTCATGTCTCTTGCTGTGATAAAATATCTTGGCCAAAAGCAGTTTAGGAAAGGAAAGGGTTCCTTTGACTTCCAATTCCATGTCAAGGTGGAAGGAATTAAAACAGCTAGTCACCTCTCATCTGAGAACAAAGAGAAATGAAGGCACACATTGCTTCTGTTGGCTTGCTGGTTTGTCCAGTGCCCTTTCTTCACTCTTAGCTGGCTCAGGGCCCAGCAGGTAAAACCGTGCTGCCCACATGCAATCAGGGAGGGTCCTCTCACCTCAAGACAGGTCATGTGCACAAGCCAACCTGCTCTAACAATCCATGATGGAGACTTTTCCCAGGTGCGCCCTAGATTGTGTCCCGTTGATGCCCGAAACAAATCATTGAATCATCATCACACTTGTCTGTTCAGATCTGAAGACATGAACTGTATTTTTCTCTCATTTCAGATCTTCAAATAAAATGATGTGAAGATTCGAATGCTTTGGACCTATAATTTAGAGGTAGAAAATCTGCAGACTCTGAAGCCAGCCCATCTGAATGTTATCTTCAGATCTGTCTATGAGAATCACTATAGCTTCCACTTCCTCACTGAATGAGTCTGCTTCAGTCCCAGCTCCAACACACACGAGCTCTACAACCTTGTCTAGTCTTCCTGGGGCCCATGTTCCCCATCTGTTAAATACATGTGTTGGTATTTTAGCTATTGCATGCTGTTGGCAGAAGTTTCTGTTCCATCTGCGAGCTCCCAAATAACCACACAGAGACTTATTATTAATTATAGATGCTCAGCCAATAGCATAGGCTGGTTACTAACTAGCTCTTATGACTTAAATTAGCTCATATTTCTTGTCTACACTCTACCACGTGGCAGTGCCTTTTTTCGGCACAGCAAGTTCATCTTGCCTCTCTCCTTGTCCCCTGGTGACTCTGCCCTTCTTCATCCCCAGGCTCCCTTTTTTCTTGTCCACAAGTCCTGCCTAACCTCTTCCTGCTCTCTATTAAATCAATGAGAGCACACATCTTCACAGTGTACAAAAGGATTATTCTACCACAGTATATAAAATTCTTAATTATTTCATACAGAAAACAGGATATACATGTGAACCATTGTTGCTTTTGTAATTATAATTTTGCTTGATTCCCTTTGTTCATTGTACAATCCTATTTTCAAAGAAAATAAACTCCAGTTTACTAATAGGAGGAGAGGACTACCTAGATCCACCTCTGACCCATCCAGCCCTGGCCAGCACATGCCTTCACTTATCTTGCCTGTGCTACACACGATTGCCCAGCTGTCTAGGTGGGCATGTTGGAGCACACATATTTACCGGATTGGTTTGGGCCACTGCACTGTCTTTCATTGACAAGATGTCTATGTAATTCCTTTTCATTGGCACTAATCATGGCTCTTTTTTGTTTGTGTTATTGTTTCTCAGAGATAGGGTCTAATACTATAGCTCAGGTTGGCCTAGAACTTACTATGCAGTCCCTGCAGACCTCAGATCCATGGAAATCTTCCTGTATCACCTTCCCAAGTGCTTGAGTTAAGTCATGAGCCAGCCATCGGCCCCAGCTTCTGTTCTTCTGTTGTAGTTACAATTTTGGAAAATAAATATGTTCACATTCTAAAGTTCAAGTACAGCCCTGAACGCTTATCTTGAAGGCTTGTTTTTTTTTTCTGTTATTTTTTTCTTTCTTTTTTTTTTCCTATGAGGTTTACTCTCATGCTCACTTCCTGCCAGCCTCACACTTTGGATCAGGAGAAATGCTTGGAATCTGGAAAGCTCCATGAGGGCCAATCAGAGCAGACCTGATTCCCCTGAAGTTTCCTTTCCTAAATCCAGTGAGTTTTCCCCCTCTTTCCTGAAGTTCTAGGATTTCTATGGAAAGAAAAATAAATCTTCTTCATTCTGCATAGGCCCCTTTGGGTTCAAACCGTGAGGCAGCTTGAGCCTCTGTAGGTAGTGGCACTAAGGCTGAGAACCTCCCACCTGCTTTGACCTTGGCTTTCTCATTTGGGAAGAGCCCAGTCTGTGGCTCCAACAGGTGCTTTCTATAGCCGGGAACCTGACTAGCTACACTTGCCACAGATGCTCATGGTGGGAGTGAAAGTGTGTGGTAGAAGTGAGGAACCACGTCAGCCCCGCCCCATGGAACTGTGTCTTGTCTGTGTCCTACCCAGAGGTGGATCCCTGGTGCCTATGACAAGTGTCCTATGCACTTGGCACAGGTTGAGCCCGATCTAGAAGATACTGAAGGCCCCCTGAGGCCCTTTCTCAGCAGTCAATCAACAACTCTATTTTAAAAGCTATTCCAGATTCCCCATGGTATTTCTTCATCTCCTCCTAAGACCCCCAAGACCCTCCCTGAGGACACAGTGTTGCGGGATATTTGATCACTGAGACTGAGTAATTAAATAAAATCAACAAACCTTAGGTCAAGAGGTCAAACCAGTAACTACTTGATGTGAATTCTAGTTGGTCTTAATAATAAAAACCCAGAGTCAGATATTCGGGGTGAAAGCTGAAAGATCAGAGAAGCAGAGCAGTCAGCCACTATTTCTTACCTCTACAAAATCCTCAGACCCATGGGGGCAAGATCCTGTCTCTACGAATCCTCAGATTGAATGCCTTGAGCTCCTGTCTTCTCCCACCTTGTATTCCTTTCTCCGCCCAGCCATATCCCTTCCTGTCTCCACCTCCCTAGTGCTGGGATTAAAGATGTGTGATTCCCAAGTACTGGGAACCACCACTGCCTAACTCGGTTTCTCTTTTAGACTGGATCAGTCCCCTGTAACCCAGGATGGCCTTAAACTCACAGAGATCTATCTCTGCACCCACCTTCTGAGCCTCAGTTTCTCCTCAGAGGGACTGAGGATTCTGGTGGCACAGTCACTTTCAATCTCTTCATTGTGTTCCCAGGCTGTGTGGATGGTGGGTCACCCCTTCCCCTGCCCTGACTTCCCAATATCCAAGCTCTTTCTCGCCTTCTCTTCTTTACAGTCTGTATTTTTCCAAAGGCTGGGAAATAAAAATGTCTGATTGATAAATGAGTCCAGTTAGCTGGAAGGATGACGCTGGTCCATTTTAATTTCTTGTTTGCTTTTCTCTCTTTCCAAAATCCATGCAATAAATGTCCATCAGGTTTGCAATCAGAAGAAGAATGCCCAATAAAAAGCCAACCGGAACCCCAAGGTTGCATATTCCAATTGGCTAAGGACCTAACCTCCAAGCTTCTGTCCTCCTATGGTTGCTGGACACTACACCCCAGATGATGACATTACAGAGGGTCACCTCTGCCAGGAGCTACAGGCCTGTAGGGACACACAGAGTAGACTTGGCTCTTGTACTTTGGGAGCCCAGTGCCAGCCTCTAAATCTTCAAGCCGCAGTTATTCTCTAGGTTGGGGCTCCTACCAGCTGGCACCCGCGCATACAAGACCCTCCGGTGAGCCACGCAGCTGCCCAACTGCCTGTTTTTATCTTCACACGGGAGCGCCCGGTCCCTCCCTCCTCCCTCACAGCAGCAGGGTCATCTCCCTGGGGTATACTTTGTGTGTCATGTTGCCTGCTTCTTGGTAGCTCATCAAGTCTCTCTGATCTGAGTCTCTTGGTCTCTAAGTACAGCCTTTGACGAATGGTTTTATTTCTTTCTAACTACACATTAAAAAAAACATAAAAATGATGTCTCCTATCAGATTACTATGGCAATATAGAGATGCGGATCAATTCCAACAACAATCAAATCTTTAATGGAATAGTTATTTCTCTCCTGGGCCTATTGACAGAAGCACGTCTGTGGGTGTATGGATGTTGGGGGGAGGGTGGTGCCCCTCCAGTCTTGGCAGGGACTCAGGACTTGAGTGACAGACACTGGAGGGGTGGCATGAATTTGAGCTGGGGGAACAGAGAGTGGTGGTGGGGTGGGAGGAGAGGGCATGTGAGCTAACAAACCCTGCCCCGGTGCAGTGCGAGCTGAGCTGATTTAGCATCCACCCCTCATCCTGAGCAGTCTAGCTACCGGGCTCTGCTTGTGTGGGGGAGACAGGCGGGCCTGGGGTGCCTGCTGGCCAGCCTGGCCCTGAGGATGACTTACTTTTCTCATTGCTGTGAGAAGAAGCAAAAGTAGGGAAGAGGGGTTTATTTTGGTGCCCGATTTAAGAAAGCTTCCGCGTACATCATGGTGGGGCAAGGGTGTGGGCAGCTGGTCACAGGAGGTCAGGCCCTCAGGCAGCAGGGAGATGTGAATTGATACTCAGTTCACGTTTCCTTCTTCAGTCCAGCACCCCAGCCCAGAGCCTGGTGCCACAGTTGGAAGGGGTTTTTTTTTTTCTCACCTCAACTAACTCAATGTAAATTATTTTTAGATTTATTACACTTTTATGTGTTTGAATATTTTGCTTGCATGTTTGTCTGTGCACGCTAGACACGCACTGAAGTCAGAAGTGGGCATTAGAACCCTTGGAGTTAAGGATAGCTGTGAACCACCAGGAGGATACTGGGAATTGAACCCAGGTCCTCTGTAAGAACAAGCAGCGCTCTTAACCACTGAGCCTTCTCTCCAGCCCACAACTAGCTCAATCTAAAAAAAAAAAAATCCCTCCACAGATGTGCCAAGAGGATTGTTTCTATGGTAATTCTTTTTTTTTTTTTTTCAAGACAGGGTTTCTCTGTGTAACAACCTTGGCTGTCCTGGGAACTTGCTCTTATAAACCAGGCCGGCCTTGAACTCACAGAGATTCACCTACCTCTGCCTCCTGAGTGCTGGGATTAAAAGCATGCACCACTACTGCCTGGCCTCTATGGTAACTCTTGACCTCATCGAGTTTTCAGTGAAGATTAGCCATCACATATGGAGAAAGTATTGTCTTAGGTGTACCTCCGTCCTGGCTGCATAGGGTTTCGAGACAATGGCATGCTCCCTGCTGCTAGTTGCTTATAATATGGGCCATTTATCATGGCTTGTAGTAAGGGGTCAATGTCAAGTAGCCATCACTCGCGATAGCCTTGCTGGCAGAATCCCAAGCTGGCACAGAAGAACACATAGTGAAAGGGAGTGCATTTGTGTGTGTGTGGGGGGGGTGCGCACGCACGTATGTGTGTGTGTGTGTGCGTGTGTGTGTTATGACTACTCTGATGACTTCCTCATCCTAATTTTCTCTTAGCCATTCTACCTGCAAACACTGTATTTCCACGAAGCTTCCGCCGTCCTCATACTTCGCGATGATGATCAAACTCCAGCGAGATTTTCAGAGGTGTCCATCACTCATACACATGCAATTTTAAAAATGAAATTTAAAAGAATTGTTTTCCTCGCGAGTGCACATTCTGAGGCTGGGAGTTAAGTGTTCTAACAGTGAAGAGTCTGGACAGTGGAGAATGAAATCAGGCCTCTAGGGAAGTGTCTGACAGTGGAGGGCGAGAATCAGGCTTCTCACGGTTAGAGTGGGATTGACAGACAAGGAGGAGGCCGGGATTGTTCACGCAGCGGCGGCTCAGGGTTAGAGAAATCAGTATGGACTCAACTTTAGCTTCCCACAGATACTGATGGGTACACAAAATATTCAGATAGTTTGTGTAGACACAGATATTTCCTTATTCTGTCAGCTGAGGGGGGGGAGGCTGAAAACAGTCTTACTACACTAACAAAGAACACACATTTCCAGACGGTGTGTTCTCATTTTTACTGTATGTGTGTGGGTGTTTTGCCTGCTTATACTTCCGTGCACCACACGCATGCAGTGCCCTCAGAGTCCAGAAGGGGGTGTCAGACCCCTGGAGTTACAGATGGCCATGAGTTGCAGTGTGTGCTAAGAACTGAACCTGAGTCCTCTGCAAAAGTCACCAGGGTTCTTAACAACTGAGCCGTCCCTCCAGCCCCTTATGTCCAGACTTTAGTTTACAATACCAGCCTTGACACCACTTCATATACCATAGCTGACCCGTGGACAAGCAGAGCATAGACAGTTGGAGTGTGGTACACTTGAGGGTCCCAGGAAGAGAGCAGAAAAACAAGCAGCAACACACATCAGGGGGCGCAACAGCCACTGGAGTTTTCAGCAGCCGGAGACAGAGTAATTTGAGCAGTTATGTAGTGTATAGGCGAAGTAACTCAAGTACAAATTAGCATGCACGATAGCTAACTACAGATAGATCTGATTAAAGGAATGGAGGAATATAGAAGAATCTCTAGTTTGCAAAAGAATTTCAAATAATTTACAAACATTCCACCCTTCTAGGTGAAAAGTAGTTCCCCACTTTGTAAGTGTAGCTGGCATGAGGACTTCCTGCCCGATAGTGGGAGGAGTCTCATAGCAGAGAGGGACCACAAGCACCATCACAGTCAGAGGTCAAGAGAGGTGATCTTGATAACAGATATTCCTACAGTGTGCTCTTCTGTGCTTTCCTCTCCTAATTGTAGAAAAATAAACAAACAAAATAACAGCAACAAAACCTCCACCTGACAGTGGCCCTCAAAAGGGCCACAGGCTTCAAAAATAAAGGTCTGAGCAATTGTCGTGACCAAGAGGCATCAGTGAGATGTGATATCTAAACATGGGATGCTGTTCCAAGAGAGAGACACTGACCTACAAAACCATAGGAATCTGGGTAAACTACAGACTTCGGTTACTCTACATTGGGACTAATGCTGACAAATATACCGGCCAGGGAAACTGGGGGTGAGGTCTAGGGAGAGCCTCCAGACTATTTTATCAACTTTTCTGGAAAATTAAAATCAGCAGGTAAATAAAGGTAACCTCTCCACTCTTTCTTCCGTTCCTCTGACTTTTCTTCTCCCCTCCTCTTCTCCCCCTCTACTCCTTCCTTTCAGGAACACCATCATACAAATGGCTAGCCCTTGCCCTTGTCTAGCTGCCTCCCTGTGCCTTATTCAGAAGCCTGCTAATGGCATCTGTGCAACACTCCAATTCACAGACAGGCAGCTATCCCCATCCCCTGTTGACCTTGACACTTGCAAAAGTCCCTAGTAGAAGTTGCCTGCTCCTGCAATCTTGAGCCCATTCGCACCCGCACCCGTCAGCCCTGTCTGACGTTGCCTTGTGGACAGTCAGGACCTCCTGCGCGATGCCTTAGGCTACGCCTTCGGAAACTCCAAAGGGAACCGTCCATCCTGTAGGGAAGGCGTGTGCACGGAGGGTGCCTTCTGTGTCTGCTACCTGCTCTCTGGCCCACAGACTAGTCCCTTGTGTGCACGCACCACAGCACCCAAGTGTGGGCAGAAGCTCTCCTGTCGAGTGGGATGAAGCTTTGAAGAGGCTGAGACCTATGAGAACCGAGGAACCTTTGAATCTCCCTTCAGCTCCCCTACCCCGACCACAGCCCTCCTCTTGATGTAAAACATGTGTGCGACTCGAAAACAATGAGGCTGGCTTCTGAGCCAGGAAGACTGTTTTGCTTTAAGCTTCTGCAGGGGTTGAGAAACAGATCCGTCTCTGACAGTTGCACAGCAGTCTCCATGGAAGTCCCTGTGGCTGAAGTGGATCTGTGAAAAGGAGCAGAGAGCAGAGTCCCCCACCTTGCAACCTGCTGTGTCGAGGGCAGATGGCTCATACAGCTCAGTACCTGGGATATCTGTGGGGCAGACTGGATGGCTGGACTCTCTTGAAGGCATGTGGAATGTAACATTGAAATAGAAGGAATCTAACACAACCCACAGAGAGCTGAGTCCTCCCATATCAATCATCAATCAAGAAAATGCCCCACAGGTTTGGGACAGGCTGGTATTCTGGAGGCATTTTCTCAGCTGAGAGTCCCTCCCCTCAGATGACCCTAGCTTCTGTAAACTTGATGAACGCGTAGCCAGCACCCCGCCCCCATTCCTTCCTTATCATCTATTGCTACCATCTCTTGGCCTCCTAGACTTTCAAAGCACCCACGCTCAAACCTGTTTACATATATACAAATACATATTATAGACTAGGATCCACATTTTTTTTTTGTCTTTTTGATTTCGGGTGGCCTTACTTAGTGTTATACATTCAAGATACATCCATTTTCCTGTAGATTATAGTTTTTTTTCCTTACTGCTGAATAATGTTTCATTGATGGATGTCTGTAGACAGAGATTGCTCATTCATTTCCCAGCTGCCCAAACCTGAAATAATCACATAGAAACTATATTAATTAAAACACTGCTCAGCCTATAACTCAGCTGGCTTCTTATTAACTAACTCTTACATCTTAAATGAACCCATTTCTGTTATTTTGTATTTTACCACAAAGCTCCTGCTTTACCGGTAAGGTTCTGGCATCTGTCTCCTTGGCTAGCTACATGGTATCTTGTCTCCTTGACTCCACCTTCTTTTCTCCTCTATCTCTGCTTGGAATTCCCGCCTTACTCTATTCTGCACTGCCATAGGCCCAAAGCGGCTTTTTTTATTAACCAATGGTAATAAAATATATTCACAGCATATAGAGGGGAATCCCACATCAGATGTCTAGGCTGGGTCCCTTGCATCTCTCTGCTGTTATGAATATAGCCTCAA